GTATTTTTGCAAAACTTTGAGCTCATGTTTTGCTATTGTTATTTAATTTTTTAAGATAAAAACTATACTAAATCCATCTAGGAAGTATCATGAATCAGTGTGCAAAATTTCAGCAAAATCGGTTCATTAGTTTTCGCGGTTAGCGATTACAACGGTTTTAGCAACTTTGCATCATATATTAGTAAGATATTCGTAATTATATTACGATTGCTTTTTCAAATGATACAGCTCTTCTTCGATTTTTTGAACTTCTTTGGCACTGTCTTCCGCTATCTTCTGTTTCTTTTTCTCTAAACTATCAATCATTTGCTTCTTTCTTTTCTTTTCATTTTCTTCTGACAATTCATTTTCTTATTTTTGTCTTTGTTTTCTGAGATCTTCCTCCCACAAGCTTCTCGAATTTCGAACAGAATGTATCATTTCTTTTCAAATTATTATGTTTCAAATGCCACCAAAATTGTGAACACCTTGCCAAACGTGCCTCAAAGCAACAATTGACTTTTCTTTTTGATTGTCATACAAGCATTCTTTATTGACAGAAAAGCCTCGTTCAGGCGTGGCGTTGCTGTAAAACAAAATGAAAATTATCTGTTAAACTTTGGCTAAATCCTCAACACCCTCAGTATGGCCTAGTACTGTCATCCAAAAGGTGTCAAGTCGGTCTTTTTTTCGGTCGAACGCATTAACAGCTTCTTGAAAATTGTGAGTATTTATTATTTCTTTGAACGTTCTTTCAACTTCATCAGCTTTTAATCCAGTTATCCTATTGCATTCAACGAATATAGCTAATGCCTTATTTAGTCTGGTAATACTTATGGACTTATTTCTAGTAACTAACTCAGGATCACAGAAACTAGCGTATCTAACAAAAGGAAACTTTAGAGGCGATTTCTCTAATATTTTTTTAACTATACTGATTAAAATTAAACGAAATTTTTTTTTGGAATACTGCATGATTTTCTTGACTCAATCATTTATAACTGCGTATTGCTGCTCTAGTCTTATGTCCTAGATTTAATTTACCTAGCGGAATAAAATTGTCTTCCTTAGTCAAGTCAATGTTCCACAAGTTATTTTCAGACTCAATCACTTCAAGTTTCACAAATCTATCCAATAAATTGCTAACTATAATTTTTGTATCTGAATACAGATACAGAAACATAGGCTTGTCAGCTTGAAAGTCACACAAAAATCCTTCTAAATCAGCAGCAATAGCAGCAAAACAAGCTAACTTAGGCTTTAGTAATGGATCGTTTAAATGCTTTGATATAACTGTAAAATTCTTATTAGTTTTAACGCTGTTTTGAGATTTGTCTTTGGAGTTTTCAACGTCTTCTTTATATTTTAGCAAACTAAAAAGTTCTTCTTCAGCCTTTTCAGCTGTGATTACATTTTCAACCCAACGAGTACTACAGAATTTGTGGGGTCCACTTGATTTAGAGTACTTCATGTAATCTCCTCTTCGACCAGATGAATGGCTAAATAAGTAGTAAATGGAAGTCAAGAACTCGTGAATTTGCCACTGGCTGGCAATAAATTCAGTCTTGAACGCGTTATGAACAATGTGTAAGCCACACGAACCAACTTCAAACAATCTGTGAACACTTCCTTTAATAAGCTCACCTTCAAAATCGTTAAAAAATTTCCAATTCACATTCGGTCCGTCCATAGATATTTGTGTTGATTTTGCAAAGTTGAGATTTCCTATGTGCCTTTGAATTCGTTCATTAAATCAACTGCTTTCGTGTGAGTAAGAAACGCTGATCCTACGTATTTTGTTTCTACTTGCATAATTGCATTATTTCAATACCTCGCATGCATATCCATTTGTTCTTTCTTCGTTACTTTGTTGAAGCATTCATCAAACGAAACAGTATAAAAATCTCTACTTTGAATTTGACTTTTAGTTATCTTTATAAAATATGGTCCTAAACCATAATAAATATTATACGCTAATTTATCTTTTGCTAAACTTATTTTGTTGGAGAAGTCCTCATTGAATTCTTTCATCATCCTTTTAATGGCTTTCACAGACTCTGCACCTTTGTTTAAGTAAATGTGATCATAAACTACGTTTTGTATCCAAATGATCTCAGCTCTTGTTAAACTGTCTTTTAAAAAATATCCAATAATACTATTAGAATGATTAACTGACGGTAATGATGATTGGCTTGTTTTCGAGACTTGTGGCGTACTTACATTTTTTGAAACTGACGTACTGGATGCATCATTTTTTGGAAAAAAGTCCTGAATATTTCTGGCTTAGCTTGCAGTTTCTTTTTCTGTATGTTTAACATCTTTTTCGTGACTTTTAACGGCAGCTATTCCCATATTACTCAACTCGAAAGTTTTTTTGCATAAATTGCAGTAAGCTTGGTATTTACTTATTTCTGATGGTCTTACCCATTTATAATCCTTTGTCCACTCTGGATTTAACATAACTGTAGACTGACCAGATATTTTAATAGTTTCAATACTGTAGAGTCTTGCAATTTATAGTTCATTTATGTCGTAGCCAAAATAAACACTTTTATACATATGTAAACCTACGAAGATCAACTAAAAGAGTCTTATTCGAAACATAGTAGAAATTATGTGTTATTGACAAATGATTTAACTCACCTTCTTTAGAAATCTTGACTAGCTCACTTTTTTTAGCTCACTTTTAAATCCGTTTCTTATTCCTTTTTTAACAATGCAGTAACCTAAAAAAAATTTAAAATTCTCGATAAACGAATGTCAAGTAACACAAAAAAACTACAATAAACTTTTCTTATATAAGATTGTTAAAATAATTTAAGAGAAAAAAAATCTCATAGGTGTGTATTATCTTATGATTATTTTTCACACAACAGTATAGGCAGATAAATTAATTAAAAAAATACAAGATTTTGCACAGGAAGTATTACTGTTAAACGTACGTAAGGATTTTATATTTTTACCTAAAAATATTATTTAGTTACGAAAATCAACATTGATTTTTATAATGTTTAATACTTCTAGTAGTAAGTTATATACGTATGATATATACGTACTGCCCACTTAGTTGCTAACCTGCAAAAATGCAGGACAAGAGAGTAGTAATGCTAAAATCTCTTTTTATACATTTTTTCTAGATAACAGCAATAACACTTTTTTTCGGACAAAGTAAAAAAAGTTAACAATGCAGCAAATATTTCTAACAGACTACCTAGAGTAGTCAGATAGAAAATAAAGTAAAATGAAGTAATTCTAAATAAGTAATAAAGCATGTAATTTTTAATTTACTTCTATCACCCATTGACATTTAACGTCTGAAACCGACCATAACCTACAATTGTTTCTTACGATGACAACACAACACCCACCGCTACAGCCAACGATTTATCTTGTTGCTTTTCTTTTTTTCCTCTCGTACGTAAAGATCACAGCATTCTATTGAACTTGGCGTTAAGCCATCGTTGATCTCAAGGTACAACATATAATGAGGACTCGAATACTTACATTAGCTAGTCACATGTTGTTTGTTTTGACAATCGACGTAACTTGAGCGGTGAAGCTGCGGTCACATAGAGTACGGAGACCGTAAACGGAACTTATACAAGCCTATCAGAGATCAGAGGGAGAGAGAGGAGTGCGCTGTGCAGAAGCTATCTCCTTCTCAATTTTATAGCTTTAGGCTGCTCTTACATAAGAACGTGCGGAGGTGTGCACCCACGTTTTCGCAAGCTTCGTACACATCGAGACATTCGATAGTCGTCGATATTCTAGTAATAATATGATAAATTGTAGTACTATACTAAAATTTTACTGTAGTGTCGATCAGTGTCGACTTGGCGAGTGTCTCGATGTGTGCTACACGCATGCGAACGCGGATGCACGTGCTTATGTAGGTACGGCCTTTATAGATAAGTTCCGTATGAAGGCCCTACGATCTGACAGATAGCGTACCGTAGCTAAGAGAAAATCTCCAACAAGCCTATCTATAAGGGATAGTAGGGCATGACGGGCACCCATTATTCATTACACTCTTACAATTTTTTTCCACCTCAAATATAATTTTCCAGCTGATCATCTTTAAGAACGTGACACATAGAATAAAACTACCCGAAATAAAAAATATATAAATCAAGAAATAATTAGTTATCATATAATAAAATATAGTTCTTAAAAATGCTCATTCTGCCCCCCTGCGGGCACAGTGAACATAGCTGTAGGGTACGATGAGCGCGGGATGATTAAAATAATTCGATGGTAGGTGAACAACAGTATTTATATTGATTAATTTTTAATGATATTTAACAAACATCAAAAATTTATTTGAGAAACATGAAACATTTATTCGTTAAATCATTGTACATTAAATGTAATATCACAAGTTACATTACAATCTATATATTAAGTTATTCTAATACCACAAACATCTTGCCTTAATCTCATAAATTTTGTGTTTAGTACAAATAATTGTATGCCAATATCACAGCAATGTTGCACTCTAATATTATAAAAATAAAGCTTAATTAAAATGAAATATATACGTAAAAAGCCTCTTCAGTCTTGCCAGTTCAAGATTGTAGGAAAAAAGAACTAAAATTTATAGGATTCATAGCAACTGAATTTACCAAAGAATCACTTCGTGTGATATTTTGAATATTCGAATTAAATTGCATTAATGGTTCTCTCTGTATAATATTGCAAGGCTTCGACATAGCTACAGGATTAACGTTGGCGATTCTTTTATTCTTTGGCTCCTTTTTAATTTTAGTTTTTGGAACTGCCTTCTTTGGATCTTTTTTAATTTTTTTGTCTTGACTAGTACGTAATTCTGCAATGTATTCATCACTGGTAACAACAGCAGCTGTACCCCGTTTTCTCCGTTTAACAGGAGGCTTGGGAATCGTATCACTTTTATTTGCTGGTGTGATGGAAACTGGATCATGCATTTGTGTTGCCTTTTGCTGTATTGAATAAACAAATCAATATTGAAATTAAGCTGACAAAATATATACGTATACTTACTAGAATTTCCATGATGCTTCGGGCTTGGGAAAGAGGTATTTGGATTGTAGGCTCAGAATCTGAAGCACTGTTTTGAGCTTGAGAAAAAAACGATGAAATAGATGCTGTGTGTTCAGACACTGAGGTTTCTGAAAGAGTACGACTCACATCGGAAGATACCAAGGGGCTTAAGCTTGAGTGTGATGCACTACCAACACCATTATTTATAGCTGTCACAGATGAACTCGATGTAGACTCAACTGCACTGATCCCTGAGTTCTGCGTAATATTATCAAGTGTCTCTCTATAGAATGAGCGGTTGACAGATTCTGTTAAAACAAAAGTTATCATTTATCATAATGCAATTATTTGTCAATAAAAATAATTTTTTTACACTTTTTAAAATATTTACCTGAATCTGTATCTGTTGTGGAAGAGGATGCCACCCCCTCTTTGGCAAAATAAGGATCAAAGACTGATGCATTTAAAGGATATAGACCAGTTGTTTTAAATGCATTCACAGCTGTGTCCATTTTTGCTGCTCTCTGCCACGCTTTGCCAAATAGACTGAAAACATCTTTCATCTGAACATTAGTACCAGTGCGCTGAAATTTATTTACCTCTTCTAAGTAGTAAGTATTCATTGGCTTCATAAAGCCAACGTCGAGAGGCTGCATGCGATGAGTGCAATGCGGAGGAAAGCATAAAATCACAACACCGTGTTTTTTGCCCAATTCAGCCACTTTCAAATTTTTGACATGGGTACAATGGCCATCCAATAATAAAAGCACCGGATTATCTAATGATGCTCTTGAGAACTTGACAAACTCAAAAAACCAATCTGTAAATATATCAGTCTCCATCCAGCCACTTTTTCTGAAAACAGCCCAAGAACCCTCTGGCTTCCCTTGCAAATATGATTCGTTTGTCTTGACGCGAGGAAAAATTAGCATGGGTGGCATATAATTTCCTCTTGCTGAAAAGCACAGCTCAACGCTAATCGTCTCTCCTCTCTCTGCAGCTATTTTTCCTGCTACTTGTCGCCTTCCTTTTGCAGCAATAACTCTTGATCCTGATTTAGGTACGACAGATATGCCTGTCTCATCAACATTATAAATGTTGGAAGAGTGAAAGTTGTATTTTTTCTGTACTTCAAGCAGGAGCTGAAAGAACTTGTCAACACTCTGACAATTAAATCCATCTGCACGAGCAGCTGACGTAGGCTCAGCCTTTCGATTGGAAAGGTCATGGCGTTGCATAAAACTTTGCAGCCAGTCTCTTCCAGCAAGACCTGTAAAAAATGTGATGAACAATATGCCCAGACAAACAATGCAGTATAAATTTAGAGTAATACTTACCAGTTTCATTGTTGAAAGAGTGTAAAACACCCAACTGTACGGCAAAGTCATAGGCCAACTTCCTGAGATCTGTAGTTGACAGTCCCATGAGTCTTTTCTCCAAATCAATCACGTAGTCATATAGGGCATTTTCTTGTTCCAATGAAAATACCTTTTGGAAACCTGGATGAAATTTTTATTGTTAGGTAAGTTTTTCATACAAATAAATCATACACAGCTTTTTTTATTATATTGCAATTGCTTACCAGCATTAATTGAGTTCGGATTAGCGATTTTTCTTTGCAGTGTCACGCGAGGAATACCGTATTGACTGGCACTGCCTTTGATGGTTTTTCCACTTTTCACCGATTCAATAGCCATTGATAAATCGGTCTCAGACCACTTTTTTCTATCCGTCTTCTTTTTGTATCGTCGCACCATTCTTATTTTTAGTCACGATCCACAGTTAAACTTACTTATAAAATAAGACAGACTAGAGAAATTTAAAGCTAAGACTAAGGTTATGTTAATCAGCCTTGTTTTGATTCGAACAGAATGACAGCGTCTGCTGCAGACGCAGAGTTCTCAGGCTCATTGTGCCTCAAGCGCGGTGCCCATCATGTCCCCTAGAAGCCATGTTTTGAAATAAATATAACTTTTTAATGGTAGAAGATGAAAAATTTTTTTCAACGGATCTTGAAAGTAAATCAAACAGACTATTGGAGAAACTTCACGAGATAATTACTGGAGATAACTTTTATCGTAAAAAGAAGCCGTGAAGCTATCATTGTCCGCAGGGTTATGTATTACAATATTTTTATGAATTTTTACAATTTATTTAATTACTTTTTATCATGATACTCTTTGAGGAAAATAGTGTTGATATTTTACAATGTAAAAAAATTTATTTGAGAGAAAAACATTAATTTTTTCATTGAGTACATGAGGTGCCCGAGTTACCCTACAAACTCACGCTGCCCCACTATCCCTTACATATTAGTCGTGTATATATAACTTGTAGATATGGATATACTTGTTGTAGGTGATTTTATCTTAGCTACAGTGCGCCATCTGTCGAATCGTAGGGCCCTCATACGGATTTAGTACTCCGCGTGACCGCAGTGCAAGCAGACATAAGTCAGAGGCGCCAACATCAAACAAATCTCAAATTTTTGAATCCATTAACAAATAATTAGATCTAATTGATAAATGCATGTACCTTATAAATAATTCAAACAATTCCAAATCTTTTTTCTAGGCAAACACATAAGACAAAAAGTTGACACAAGTGAATACGAAAAGAGAAAGTTTTTTATCTATAAATACTTTGTTAATTTAGATATGACTAGGTGTTAAACTTTTAAAAAATTACTTTTCTAGGATACCACAGTTAATTCCCTGAGTTTTCCCGGTTTCCATGATATAAAAAAAAAAATCCCTAAGAATTCCCGGATTTCCAGGATTTCCAGGATCCGTATAAACCCTGTAAAACGTTTTAATTTGCCACTGAGAATAATTCTAGGAATGTCGAAAGTTGAAATAAAATATGTTGACAAAACATCGGCAGTAATTATTGCTTGTATATAAGGAACAGGAACCACAATAAAAAATTTTTTAAGTAAGCATTACATTGTTAAAATGTGCTTATTTCCGGATGTACTCCGCAAAAAAGAGCCTACTGTATCTATTGTGACTGCATTAAATACTTGTGATGGTGTGTCTGTGATAACCATAGGTTCTCTGGTTTTTGTGTGGACTAATTTTTGTTCCTGGTAAATTTTACATTTTTGTATGCATTCACCAATGTCTTTTCTCATTCCCTTCCAATAAAATTTCATCTCTCATTCGTCTATAAGCTTTTTCTACTCCTCTATGACCTCTGAATAAGCTAGTATGACATTTAATTAATTCTTCCTTTCTGTCTTCAAGGGTTACATAAAAACATGCGTTAAAACTAATTTTTACTGTAAAGGAAAGAGGATGTAATTCTTCATATAAAATTGATGGCGATTCTTTTCTAGGGAGATTATCGGTGAGTTTACCTTTTCTGGAAATACAAGTAGTGTTAACTCCCTTTAATGATACAGCATTTGCAAGGTTTTTAAAGCAGGTTCTTAAAATGCTAGGTTTTATTTCATCATTAAAGTTTTTGTTTACGACAAGTAAAAATGCGATTTTGGTTTTTCGTAGTCATAAAGTCTCCTGATTTTGGTTGATTATCTCATAACTCTTTTTTAGATATAGCTCTTATATCTGATAGTAGTTAATTGTTTATTGATTTTAAATCTACAGTTTCAGGAATAAGACGGATGTAATAATCCTTGCTGTAAGTTAAATTTTCATGAGTGCTTGAAAATTTTAGTTTATTTGTTTTATAAGTTATATTAAATGGACTTCCAACAGTACTTATATTTCTTGTTACTTTTACGAGCCAAGTTTCAATTCTGATGTATGGGTTATAACGCTGCAATATGGTTTACTTGCAGTAAAAAAATTTGATTAAAAGTGCTTTTGGTAACGTTATCTGTTTTGTTTTTTATATTTTTTGATTGAGATAGAATTTTTGCTTTTTCTTTACTCTTATTTTGTTTCATAGGTAATAAAGTTTTTCTGTATAGTTCATCATTAGAGTTTTGTAATTTATTTTTGGTAGGACTATTTTTGTGTGACTTAATTCGATATTTGGCTCTTCTGGGATTTTTGTTTTAATAAATTTGTTCATTATTCCATAGATCCATGTATTTACTATAGTAGGAGAAATTGAATTTTGAGGTGACGATAGAAGTGAATTAGTTTGTTCTTGATTGAAGTAACTGCCATTACGACGTTCGGTAGGGTATGTAGGTAAAGATCGTATTTTTTCAAGAATGCTGTTACTTATTACTTCATTTTCCTTACTGTAACTATCCCACCACTATGAATTTTGATTCTATTCTTTAATAAATCTTTTGCTGTTGCAATTTTTAGTACTGTAAGTATTAATTCTTGAATCTAATAACTGCTCTTTATTTTTATTTATATAGTTAACTTAATCTTGTACAGAGCGTCGAAAAGTAGATAAAATTTTGGTTTTATTGTAGTTAAATTTAATTTATTAAAGTCATTGGCTCGGGATGTACTGGTTTTGACTGGAATATTAGTTTCTCTTGTTGAAAAATCTACATTTTTTTCGAGTATTTCTTTAATTTCGCTGACCCCCAAGTTTTCATTACTAGAGTTTTCCATTATATTTTGAGGGGTCTCTTCTGCAAGTGCATTTATGAAGCTTGGCATAAATGATCGTTCTTGTAATGGAATTGGCGCGTCGGATTGTGGGTCACTAAACTGCGAAGTAGACGTGGTTTTGGGTTTAGATGTCGAGTCTTTTATTTGAGCGCTTGGTAATTTTTTTCTTCGTTCCGCTTTCATTTTTTTTGCTATTGTAGGTGCTCCTAATCAACCTTGTCTGCCTTCCATACCCCGAGGTGTTTTCAATAGTGTATCTCTAGGTTTATTTTTTCTTACTTTAGGTGCTGATTGTATGCTTTCAGTGGTATCGGAAGCTTGTCGAGCTATTGAAGGTTTAGTTTGTTTAGGTTTTATAGGTAGCAAACGAGCTTTTAATGATATTTCTTCGTCCGAAGAATTATTTTTATCACTTTCGTCTTCAATTCATTCTTTTGAATTTCTTGATAAGGTGTTTGCATTTGTATTTAGTCTACCAGGTTTGTACTTATAAGTATAGCTATAATCTCGAAGTCTTGCTCTCCATTTATTTAGCCTACTCATAGGATCTTTGATAGACTCAATCCAGGATTGTGGCTCATGATCTCCGTAAACCGTAAATTTTCTGCCGTATAAGTAATATCGAAAATATTGAATTGCTATAACTACCGCTAAGCATTCTTTTTCTGTCGTAGAATAATTTCTTTCAGCTTTATTTAGAGTTTTAAACATATACGCATTTGGCCGGTATTTACCTGGTTCTCCTTGGCTTTATAAGGCCCCAACAGCTATATTAGATGCGTCTGTTAATATGAATGGCTTATTTAAATTAACGCAAGCTAACACAGGTGCTTTGCGTAATATTTTTTTCAACTTGCCAAAGCTTTTTCGTTGAGTATCTGTCCACTCGAATTTTTGTCCTTTCTTTAACAAGAAAGTTAAGGGCTCTGCAATTTCTGCAAAACTATTAAAAAAACGGTGGTAACAGTTTTCTAACCTTAAAAATTGTCTAACATTCGTTTGATTTTTTGGTTTNAAAGTTTTTTTTCAGCCTTTTTAGCTGTGATTACATTTTCAACCCAACGAGTACTACAGAATTTGTGGGGTCCACTTGATTTAGAGTACTTCATGTAATCTCCTCTTCGACCAGATGAATGGCTAAATAAGTAGTAAATGGAAGTCAAGAACTCGTGAATTTGCCACTGGCTGGCAATAAATTCAGTCTTGAACGCGTTATGAACAATGTGTAAGCCACACGAACCAACTTCAAACAATCTGTGAACACTTCCTTTAATAAGCTCACCTTCAAAATCGTTAAAAAATTTCCAATTCACATTCGGTCCGTCCATAGATATTTGTGTTGATTTTGCAAAGTTGAGATTTCCTATGTGCCTTTGAATTCGTTCATTAAATCAACTGCTTTCGTGTGAGTAAGAAACGCTGATCCTACGTATTTTGTTTCTACTTGCATAATTGCATTATTTCAATACCTCGCATGCATATCCATTTGTTCTTTCTTCGTTACTTTGTTGAAGCATTCATCAAACGAAACAGTATAAAAATCTCTACTTTGAATTTGACTTTTAGTTATCTTTATAAAATATGGTCCTAAACCATAATAAATATTATACGCTAATTTATCTTTTGCTAAACTTATTTTGTTGGAGAAGTCCTCATTGAATTCTTTCATCATCCTTTTAATGGCTTTCACAGACTCTGCACCTTTGTTTAAGTAAATGTGATCATAAACTACGTTTTGTATCCAAATGATCTCAGCTCTTGTTAAACTGTCTTTTAAAAAATATCCAATAATACTATTAGAATGATTAACTGACGGTAATGATGATTGGCTTGTTTTCGAGACTTGTGGCGTACTTACATTTTTTGAAACTGACGTACTGGATGCATCATTTTTTGGAAAAAAGTCCTGAATATTTCTGGCTTAGCTTGCAGTTTCTTTTTCTGTATGTTTAACATCTTTTTCGTGACTTTTAACGGCAGCTATTCCCATATTACTCAACTCGAAAGTTTTTTTGCATAAATTGCAGTAAGCTTGGTATTTACTTATTTCTGATGGTCTTACCCATTTATAATCCTTTGTCCACTCTGGATTTAACATAACTGTAGACTGACCAGATATTTTAATAGTTTCAATACTGTAGAGTCTTGCAATTTATAGTTCATTTATGTCGTAGCCAAAATAAACACTTTTATACATATGTAAACCTACGAAGATC